CTTGGTAAATTAGTAAATTAGTTTGCATTTGGAACAATAGGCGACACATTCCTCAGTATGGGAGCAGCTCCTATCTAAAGCCCTGCATCCTGTATAAGCAAGTCTTTTGCTACTGATAAATGGTTTTCTTGAACAAGGAATTGAGTTGTCTACCACAGATATATTATGAAAATAATTAGTGAATGTACCCCTGGCTTTTCCTGGACTAGAAACTCATTAGCTCCAACCTCCATCATAGTGCTTGTCCTCTCCCTCCTTCCCTTTATCACAGTGTTTCCTTGTCTCCATGCTGATCTATTTTCTCCCTCCAGCCAGTTCTCATTTCCTCTGGTATCCACTCCACCATTTATTTCCACTCACATGGAATGAAATCTCCCTGTTTAGAAGTTTGGGATTATCAGTTTCACAATGATATTCAAACAGTTCTTACAGTTAAAAGAGCAATATTTACAGCTTATGTGTATTGTCTGTACGTTTTGCTTATGTTATAGTTTGTCATCACCCAAGCCACTCTTTGGAAAGAGTTGTATGATAAAATTTCTTTTAAGTTGTATAATAAAATAGAGTTGACAGAAGTCTAGTGGACAACAGACAAACCATTCAGTTTGTAGCCAGATATAAAGGATCTCATAGGTACATTTTATATTGCACACTTAATAGGAAAGTCCACCAAATGCTTATTACCAGGCACTACCAGAAGCTAATTATCAAATGGCACAATCAGTGCTCTAGGGAGATCAATTTCTGATGTAAACAAGCCAGTTATTTAAATGGAGAAATCAACAGAATCTTTGCAAATCTGTGTTTCTATTTGTTACTGTTGAGAATAGAAATATTTTTTTTAAAGTTCAAAAATTTTGTAAGATGTAAACAACATCACTGCAAATAGCTGCTGGCTACTGGAACACACCAAAGAGCTTAAGATAGTCTGTGCTTTATAAACTACAGCGAAGTCTTTCACTTTGTGGATCATGAAAAACTCTGGATTGTTCAGAAAGAAATGAGTGTACCTCAGCACTTAATTCTCCTGATGCATAACATGTATTGTGGACAAAAAGCTCTTGTTAGGACAGAATAATGAGACAGAATGGTTTCCTATAGGCAAAATTGTTTGACAGAGGTTTATTTTTATCTCCTTATCTATTCAATTTGTACTCAGAACGTATCATGGAAAGCTGGACTAGATTCAGACGAAGGAGGAGTGAACACTGATCAAAGAAGCATCAGTAATTTAAGATACACAGATGACTCCATCTTACTGACAGAAAGCAGCAATGACTTGAAATGAGTGTTTGGGAAAGTGAAAGAAGGAAGTGCTAAAGCAGGACTGCACCTAAACATGAAGAAGACAAAAGTCAATGACTGTAGAAAAACTACACAACTTTAACATTGATGATGGAGAAATTGAAATAGGTATTTTGTATACCTTGGTTCAATCATCAATACAAATCGAGACTGCAGCCAAGAAATCAGAAGAAGACTAGGAAGGGCAGCAATGAAGGAATTAGAACAGATCACTAAGTGTAAGGATATGTAATTGGAGACCAAAATACAGTAGTCCACACTGTTACGATACCGATCACAATGTATGAGCGTGAAAGTTAGGTGCAGTTAAGAAATGGTTTGTTTGAAATGTGATGCTGGAGGAGAGCTTTGCAGATACAGTGTACTGCCAGAAAGACGAAGTGAGTCCTAGATTAAGTCAAGCCTAAACTATCTCTGGAGGCAAAAATGTTGAAGCTGAGGCTGTCCTGCTTTGGGCACATCATGAGAGGACAGGATTTCTGAAAAAAGATAATGGCAGGGAAAGGTGGAAGGCAGCAGGAAAAGAGAGAGGCCAAATATGAGATAGGAACCACAGGATTGAGTGTGCAAGAGCTGACCAGTGCTGTTGAGAACAGGAAAAATATGAGACAGGCTGCCTAAAGGAACCACAGGATTGAGTGTGGAAGAGCTGACCAGTGCTGTTGAGAACAGGAAATGTTGGAGATTGCACATTCATAAGGTTGCCATAGGTGTAAATCGACTTGATGGTGCATGACAATAACAAACCCATATCATACATTAAAAATGATGGAATTCATCTATAAATTGACAAAGTGTTGAGAAGCCATTTAAAAAAAAAACAAAGCCTGGAATACTTCATTACTGTCAATGCAAATGTTGTGTGTTTGGTGTGTGTGACAAGAATTGAAGGAGAAGCAGCTCCCCGCCCCAGCCTAGGTTTTTCCAATGTTCCTATTGCTTGTGGTTTCCAGAAAATGGGTTTTGGAATATTTTATTTTAGAATGATCAATTATAAGATTAAGATGATGCATTGCTATATTGGTTTTCCTTTCCCAATGAATGGTTTCTGAGTACACGTGATGTTGGTAATGATCTTTCAAATGTTGCAGAACATAGGTAAGCTTTTGGGCACTGGGTCTAGGAATGCAGCCTGGATTTCTGCCAACCATGCCTTTCCTACAACATACTAGCAAGGCCTTTGCATGACCCAGTGTCTGACTCTTTTTGCTTCCTTTTGAAGAGCCTTGTGGCGCAGTAGTTAAACTGCTGTACTGTGCTCAAGACCCAGGGTTCTATTCAGAGTAGCCAGCTCAAGGTTGACTCAACCTTCTATCCTTCTGAAGTTGGTAAAATGAATACCCAGCGTGCTAGGGGTTAATGTGTTGTGTAGCCTGCGTAATTAACTTGTAAACCAATCAGAGAGTGCTTTAAGCACTAAGGGGCAGTATATAAGCAGCATATGTTGCTTTGCTTCCAACCTGCTAACAAATCTTCCCTCTTCTGCAACATGCCACAGAAATGGTTTGGTATTTCAAAATATATCAGTGGGGGAAAACAGAAATGGGAATCTCTAATAGCAATTGCTTAGAAAATGAGATTGATTAGGTAACGTTTCATGAAACAACACTAGTTTTAAGTGTGATTTGCCAAGTTCACCCATTTTTTATCTCTTTTTCTGAAAATGAGAGTGTTCTGTGCCAGTTTGACACAGAACAGGACAGTAAAATCAGAGCACATTTCTGATTAGGTTATGTTGGTTTTCTCTAATGTTATGGTGTAGCATCATGCAGAGCTTTGAAAAGTAAACCAGCACTCCTAGAATTCCCAGGTGGATTTGTCAGATCCAGAAATGTAACTTATTGGTTGTTGTGGGTTTTTCGGGCTCTTTGGCCATGTTCTGAAGGTTGTTCTTCCTGATGTTTCTCCAGTCTCTGTGGTCGGCATCTTCAGAGGACAGGAGTAGGAACAACACTAGCTTTAAGACTGGTTCTTACTCCAGTCCTCTGAAGATCCTAGCCATGAAAGCCTTTGTGAATGCAATGTAACTTATTGCTTCTTTTTTTCATTTTGCCACATTCTACTTGCTTATCATAAACTGGGGAAAATGTAGAAACATTAAATTTCTCAGAATTCATAAATTTGTCAAAATTACCAGGAAGATTACTTTTTACTTTTTCTTCTTTTATTTTTTTTAATTTTATTTTTTATTATTTTGGTCTAGCCTTCTTACACCTTTATTATTTATGCTTGCACATTAGTGGCATGTATGGTGATCTACCCATGTACTTATACTTTCCTGCATTTAGAAAACATCTGGTGTTTGAAATTCGGGAGAAGTCATGTTGGCTGTAAGACAAATTCCAAAATCCATGTTGTGGATTTTATTAGATCAACTGAAAGAACACACACACACACAAATCTGTGCAAACTTTCAGAATTTAAGGGATGAGGAATATTTTATCCTGAAAGCTTGCACAGAGACTTTTGTGGTTTTTTTTTTATTAGCCTAAAAATGGTATCTCCACAACAAAGGTAATGTTTGGAGTGCCCTTCACTATCTTCATTTCTTGAGGCGTTCATTTTGAAGAAATCCAAGTGGCCTTGGACAAACTTGACTGTCATGGTGTGCATGTTCAAACTGATATCTCGTGGTATTTGTAATATGGCATGAACATTATTGGGGGATGTGGGAAGGTTTCCATGTTCAAAGTGTCAATTGAAGACATATCTGCACATCAATGAAAGCACACGGTTCTTCATGACTCCTGGAAGTCCTTTCTCAATTAAAAGTAGAGATGGGCATGACTGCACAGTTAGGAAAGAATTTTAATTCGAGACGGGCACAAACCTTTTCCCACCTCCCTAGACAATGCCCTATTCACCAGCTATAGTGCGCTTCTCTCCTCCTCTTTGTTTGTTCGCCCAGTCCCGAGCAGGAGCATGGCCTGGCCTAACTCCTAGTCTGAGGCAGGGAAGCCTGTGTTCCTGCTGGAAACTGGTTGAACAGCTGAAGAGGAGGAAGAGAGATGTGTGTGCCAGCTGATGAGTGGGAGATTCAGCCAGGGAGGCAGGGGAAAGGAACAGGTGGCAACTGTGGTGCTATGCATATTAACTGGCATGAGCCTCCAAACCAAGGTTCGTGCCCATCTCTAATTATAATTCTTTCCTAACCCCGCTGGAGATCCTGGTATTATGTGGTAGTCTCCCATTCAAGCCTAATGTTACTTAGCCTCTGAAATCCAACAAGATCAGTGTGTTCAGCGTAATAAATGTCATGCATTGCCTGAGCAATCCTGATGCCCTTCTGAATTCCCATCACAAGTCCTAACCGTGGGCCAGGCTGATCACAACCCTTCTGCACAGAATACTTTCATAGAGAAAAATTTCAGATGACGCTCTGTGGTGACAGTAGGGTTAGAACTGGCTCCAAGCTGGGGGTGAGTGACCTGTGGCTTCTAGATATATTTAAACTGCGGATTCCACAGTGAGTGAAGGTGGGAACTGTAGCTCAGCAACATTTGAAGAGCTATCAGTTTCCTACCCATATTCTAACCTACCCCAAGGGTGTGTGCGTTTTACATATTTGGCTGGATTTTGAGAACTTAATCCTTGGTTTAATGGTAATAGTTAGGAAAGGTTATAATTCTACTTTATACTTGTATGTATTTAGTCTTTGTAAAGGTTACCAAGCATATATTCCCTCTCTCTTACAGACCTGGATTATCACTTGCTTTTATCTTCTACTGCTCCTTCTTAATCCTCTTGTCAAAGCCCAAAGTCCCTGCGGGAATCCTGTGACGGATGATGTGAATGACATTCCAAAACTGGCAAGTGGCTATTCTTTTAAATTCTTCTCTAAACACTGGCAGATAGAAGAGGGAGAGACCTTCTGGGGAACATGTTGACTGATGCTCTTCTTGACTTACACAGATTGGAGATGGGTTCACAAAAATAGTAACATTATACCACATACAAGACAGGCTCCATCCAGTGCTCCCTTTTCAACACAAGGTTTATTTTAACCACAAAGTACCTCCAGTAATCTAAGTCTGTTTTCTTTGGATCATTGTTACACCTATCCATGATTTCCCTTAAGTGCTACTTTTAGCTTTCCTCTCAGACCTTAGCTCCTTTTCCTGAAACCGAAACCCAAGTGGTTTTAAATTAGCGCACTTATTTGTTTTGATCAGGGAATATCTTGCCCATGATCTCACAGGTGTTCCAGAAGAAAAACTGAAATGTGTCTTACATTTTTATTTTAAAATCTGGTGTTCTGTTAATTGATTGTATCAGATTTCCCTGAATTTCTCATACTGAAGTTCACGGAGGAGGGAGTTGCATATACTGTACCATCTCACTGAGAGACAGACAATGGGAATGTCACTGGAATGCTATTTATAATGCAGAGTTGGCTTGGTATGTTGTATCCCCAGAGTAGAGTGGAAGAGAAATTGCATGTAATACAGTCATGAAATGTTGTACAGCAATGCTGAGAGCTGAACAATTTTAAAAACATCTGGGTTCTAGAAGGTTTTCTTCCCTAAATGCTATTCACTTACTTCAATTATTCAGTAAGAAACAGATAACTTCCATTTTGGAAATGAGTAAAAAGACATGCTTTTATTCTCCATAAGCAAACAAGAAGAATTTCACTTGATACTGCTCCACAGTTTGCCAGGGTGGGGAGTTGGTAAGTCCTGCTGTTTTTATAAGATTGACTTTCTTTCAGCACAGCAGGTTTCTGAAGTCCTGTGGAGCTCTTGAATATTGCACGTTCTCTTGTAATCCAGCTGCATTTAGATTCCCACCTGCAGGTGCCCACATGAATCTCACTGTGATAGAAGAATCACCTAGTCCAACATGTGATGAGACTGATCTCTAGTTTGTGTTTGTAACTTTAGTTGGGGCTGCATTATGTGAAGCAGTTTTAGATCTGTCAATAATCTTTCTTCAGGTCGCTGAAATCTTAGCAGACCAGTGGATTCTTCAGCCTTCCTATCCAGTTTCATGTGTTTCCCTTATCATCTTCACTATTTACCTTTCTACAGTACAATAGACTTTTCAGGTTTGGCAAACTTTGGTTTGAATTGATCTCACGGGCCTAAATCAAATTTTGCTCTGGGGAGATGAGGGAGGTTCAGCTCTTTTTCCCCCTCTCTTCTCCCTGCAGTCCTCTGGGCTACCCAAAACAGTTCCAGAAGATTTCTCAGTTCCCCAGAGTCCATTGGAGGTGGCTGCCCTTCAGTGGAAGTCTAATATGGGATAACATCCTCTCTTTTTCAGTAACATTGTTTTAAATTTTATACATCTTCTCCGGGCTTAAAACTTCAAAGGAACAATGCTTTTCCCATTAGAGTTCCACAAATTGTATCGAAAACATTGTATTACATGGAAAATAGGCTATTTTAAAATATGTCAATACAGTATATTTGTATGATACCTATGCTCTTCACAGGTTGGGTCTACAGTACACAGCTTGACCAAACTAGAATAGATGCTCTGAAAGGGCATTTGTGACCACTTACACAAGTTCTATAAATTTCAATGGGTTTGTTTTAATTGGGACGAACACTGGATTTGCCTATTGTTTTGTCTTCCTGGAATTAGTTGAGCATAAATTGTTTCTGGTTTGCAGTAGTGAATTAATAAGTATCCTTTACTGTCTGCAATCCTGTTGATGTCTAAGTTAACTTGTGTAACTTATCTGAACAAATTGCCAACAACCGATGAGGTACCAGTCGCATGACCAAGCATGCACCAGGAATCCAGACTCTGACGTTGCAACACAATTAGCACCTCACTAGTTAGTGGCAGTGTGTTATGGGGAAGAAAAAGTGTGCTGCTTATATATTGCCCCATAGTGCTTAAAGAACTCTCTGGGTGGTTTACAGTTTAATTATGCAGGCCCCAGCCCAGCAAGCTGGGAACTCAATTTACCACCCTCAAAAGGATGGAAGGCTGAATGAACCTTGAGCTTACTACCTGGGATAGAACTAGGTCATGGGCAGAGTTTTGGCTGTAGTACAGCAGTTTAACCTCTGGACCATAGGTCTCCTCATGACAAGTGATGCAGTTTAACTTAGGCAGTTAGTTGTAAATAGCCAACAGGATTCTGGTCACTATTTCATTTCTTCACTTAGGTAGCAGAAAACAATTTTGTTGGCTCCAATAGAAAAATAAAGATATTTAGGAATTATTGGTGAGAGTTGTAAAATGGATAGACAGGAAGGAAAACGAGGCGTTCACAGAAAAATCTAAGAGCAAATATAGGACTGAGGGAAAAGAAATAAAAGGGAGGACTAGCAGGCCCAAATGAAGTGCAAAGCATTGTTCAGCTCTTTGTTAATATAGCAACCAATCTGCTATGACACAAAAGCCACATATAAGCTTTGTGGACATACCTTCTTCGCAGATCTATTATTATTATTGAGCAGATTAAAGGCATTAGACCTGCAACAATGCAGGTTCCTTCATGAATCCCATATAGGAAAATACTTGGCTGTCATACTAAAATGCCTGATTAATTCATGTAAATAAACTGGTGTGGTGAAATTTCTCTCTAACAATTCTCTGTTGTGGCTGCATTTCTGTAACAAATTAACTTGACATTTTTATGAGGCCACCAACACCCCATGTCTTGCTCAAAAGATGTTGACATCTTTCTGCTTAACAATTCTTTAACCTCTCTCCACTGCAGTGTTTGTTTCCACTATTTAAAACAAAGTTGCCTTTTTAATGACTCTAGGTGTATGTGTGGGAAAATCATATTTGAAGACAATGGAATTCTACATTTTGTGTACAGTATATACGTTCTGCTTGCGAATATGCTGGCTGAGAACACATCCCCCACCCTTCTGAGAACTCCTCTTGCAAAGCTCTGCCTCCGCCTTTGTCACATGATAATGAAATCTGTGTGCTTGTCATGGGCGTAAAAGCATTCAGGCATGCCTGAGGCACGTGTGAATTACCCAGATTCAGCTTGCTTAGTTCCCCCTTTGCTGTCATGATACAGAGAGTCAATTTCATATGGCTTTTCCAGACATTCCGTTCAAATTCAGTAGGAAAGGAGATGCTTGGTGACACGAGCCGTCTTACCCATGTTGGTGTCCATAAGAAAGCCACTTCACACATTGATTCATGTGTACATATCCAAAGAGGCAACTGAAACTGCAGACTATACCTTGTTTATGGTATAGAGAGATGTTGGGGAAAGTACCACAGGAAGTAGGCCTGAAGTTAGCATTCTGAATGTAAGGCCAAGGCCTGCTAAAAACAGGCTATGGGAGTTTAGGATTTGGCCCAAGTCTCTTCTGCTGACAGAAATCCTTTTCTGCCAGGAGAAACACTATTTCTCCTAGTAAAATCCTCTTCTGCTGATAGCAGTCTTCAGACAGAAGAGTCAGAAGGAGTGGGGAAGGGACAAGGCAGAGAAAGAGCCATGTTATTCCAGTACTTTCTGCCTGAACGCTTGCACTAATCTTAAGTAATTTCTAGCACCTCTTGTATAAGAGGGGATCACCTGGTCTACTGGTTGGTCTACTGTTATAGTCTGCTTTGTTATGCTAGGAGTGTTATGTAGGAGGTCACCCATGCTGTGAAAATCGAATTCAAAGTAGCAATGGTGTAAATCACAATAAAAGTGAGCCTCCCTTTTTGAGAAAATCTTGTTGCTTAGCATCGTATGTCACACCCAGATCCTTTGAATCATTGGGGATTTGGTGGGCCAGCTTATATGTAAATCCCATTGGTACAATAGGCCTACTTTCATTATGACTTACTATGGTAAGCAACAGGATTTCAGCAATGAGTACAATGTGTGGGAAGGGGAGTTCAGTACAACAGTGGAAAGGGATTTAAAAAGTGAAATTTCAGTCCTCTTATTTTTCCTCCTTCCCATTTTGGTTGCCCAAGTCATAAAACTCTACTAACCATGCCATAACCCAATAAATGCCTTAAGTAACTACTGTGGGATCCAAGGACCAGCGCATGCATTAAGTTATTGATATGATTGTAATTTATGATATGTAATTATATAATATATTTCTTCATCATGATGTTACACTGCAATCTAAGGTTATACAATACATAATTTTAATAATTATAACAATTCAAATTGGGATTATTGTGATAAGGGGGGTGATGGCCTGTCACTATGATTAATGGGTGTTGTAAGCTAGTTTTTTGTGTGCAGTGATCACTGGTCCTTATGACTACACAGCTTTATGTCCTTTTCAAGAGATTGGGTGATTATGGTGATCAGGGTGTTTTTTGTTATGGGTGTATTGTTGTGATAAAGGGGAAGATGGTTGGTCACTGTGATTGATGAGTGTTGTTAGCTAGTCTTTTATGTGCAGTCACACCACTTGTGACTACAGTGGGGTCTTGACTTGAGAACTTAATCCGTATTGGAAGGTGGTTCTCAAGTCAAAAAGTTCTCAGGTCAAATCTGCATTTCCCATAGGAATGCATTGAAAACCATTTGATCCGTATCTGCTCTTTTCCGTCCATAGAAACTAATGGGAAGCTTCTATTCTGCCTTCGACCACTAGAGGGGGATATTTTGTTTCTTTTTTTCTTAGGTCAAGAAAAGTTCAGGGAAGGCAGGGAAAATACAGTCCAGGCAGTACCAGGCAGTCTGAAGACTCCCAATCCACTCTCTAAACGCTGGGAGGAGTGAGGAAGCAGACAGGCACCCTTTTCACTGGCCAACAGTTAACTGAAAGTTCAAATTTTGCACTTTCCCTGCCTCCCACGTGGTTTTTTTCAGTTCTTAACTCAAATCTAAGTATGTAAGTCAAGTCAATATTTTCCTATGAGAGTGGTTCTT